TCCGATACACTGCTATTTGTTAAACATAACATTCGATTAAGCCCCAAAAATATAGAATGAATAGAAAAAAAAAAGAATAATTCGCGAAGCACGTACACGCACTCACTCAAATGAAACTTGGAGCAGGTTCTTTGTAATATATTTATTTATATTTTTTTTTATTTTTTTTATTTATTTTTTTTTTTTGTTGTTGTCAAATTGTAATTGCTGAAATGACATCAATGTTTGTTCTTGTTATGTGTGATTCCAGAACAAGCTTTTAATATCACAAAACATACAAACAATTTACACGCTGCATGAAAAACAAAATTATATAAAAAATAAAAAAAAAATAAATAGAAAATTATAAAATGGAATCGAAAATAAAGATCGTTAAAACGCTATTAGAGACGACTAATAAACATTGACCAGTAAACACAAAGTGTTTTCAACGACATTAATGTTACGTGATTTTTATAATAATTTATTAAAAAAGAAAATGTGTTTAAAACGTTTTGATATTATTAAATATTTAAAGAAATAACGTTTTGATCGCTACGGTTAGTAATGAAATGCCTTAAGAATAAATGTGTGTGTGTGTGTGCACACGGCCACAGAACACTTGTTTCATTGTTTTTTTTTTTTATTTCTTTTTCTCTTATCACGTAACTACACACACTATTCGATACGTACATATATGTTCAATTATTTTCTTAGTCGACCATTAATATTTTAAGTTTGAAATTTATTACATTTTTCTTCATTTTTACCATTTTGTTTCATATTTATTTTTCGTAAGCCATAACTCAGTTTTTTTTTTAATTATTTCTTTTTTTCTTTTTTTTTTTTTGTTATTATCATTAGATATATATATATATATATATATATAGATATATATCCGTTGTTTGCTGCTATTTCTTTCACATTTTTACTGAAGCCCCATTTTCGTTACAGTCTATGGCTATTACTTTTAAATCACACATTTACAATTATTTACATTTTATTTTAGATTTATATTTGAAGTCGTCCGCTTATTTCAAATCTCCTTCAATCCGTTAGTTTTTCCTTAAAACATACAAGGTCTTAAATTCGTTAATTCAAATAAATTAATCTTCCAACTATTAATATTAAATATTATTTAATTAATTAACCGTATCTAAAAGTATTTATTGCACATAATCTGCATTTACGTATATTACTACGCGCAAGCTCTCACGATAAGAAATTCACGCTTCGAAATTTTAACTCAGACTGTGGGAGCAACAACAATTTTTTAATTAAACGGATCTGACGTTGGCTCGCTTCTTGTTGCTGATGTTGCTGCTGCTCCTACGTTTGTTGTTGCTAATGTTGCTGTGCATACTTTGTTACGTTGCGTCTGCATAAGCAACGAAAGCAACTAAGCTGGGTTTGCATAGGCAATAAGTGTACGTTTTATATATTTTTTATTAATAACTTCTTCTTTAGCAATTTTACTGATATGAAGGAGATTTTTTTTTTTACTATGTTTACTATGTTTACTATGTATTTGTATTTTCAATAATATTAATTGGAATTTTATTAGGATGAGATGAATGGATTTATTCTTTTCGGCTAGTTTTTTATTTAAATTATTTAGGAAATGAAAGATAAAGGATGGATGATATTAAAAAGATTAAGAAGAATAATAAGATGATTGAATAATTTTTCCTAATCCTATAATAGTATTATATTATTTATACCTGAAAACTTAAATTTACTAACTGTATCCGCTTGTATTATTGGAGGTTTGATAGCTGTAACTGTATTTCTTTTTTTTTTTTTGTAATGTGTGATTATATACCTTTATACCTTAGTGCTTAATTACTAAAAATTGTGTACAATGCATTTATAAAAATAATAAAAAATAAAAAATAATTTGTTTACGAAAAATAATACTAATGAAAAATATGTGAACAGTAGAAATGTTATTTTCAGAAAGTAGATTTTGCTCTCAGCAAAGTCAGAAAGGGCGTTCATGAAAATAAAAATGCAAACGATTAAAATGCTTACAATGAAAGAAGTCCCTTCTCAAAGCAACAAAATTTTACAATAGCAAAATGCCAGGTGATCTTATACTGTCAACTAATCAAAGAAATCCTCTGTCATAGCAACAAAATTTTATAATAACAAAATGCCAGTGGTTCCAGTACTGCCAAATAATCAAAGGAACCCTTCTTAGAGCAACTAATTTTATGAATTATTAATGGTCAAAAATGTAATAAATGTTGAGATTTATATTCTTATAAGCAATTCCTAAAGTGTGGCTTCTCTCTCTCTCTCTCTTTCTTTATTTATCTCTATCTCTGTGTATTCCTTTGGCACGAACAATCAAAAATTTCTATCAGAGCAAATAAAATTTGACAATACCAATATTTCAAATATTTCAATAGTGGTAAGTGATCAGAAAAATCTTCTCTTAGAGCACGCAAAATTACAATTCCAAATGTCTGCAATACGTCAATAGTGTCAAGTAAATCCCCAAATGCTGCCAACTAATGCTCTCGGACATTGAGAGAAAGAGAGAGATAGAGAGAGCATTGAAAGTGAGAGAGCAGAAATTTTCTATTAAGGAGAGCTTAAGCTTCTCAATAACTCAGCTTAAGTATTAGGTATGAAAGAGAGAGAAAGAGAAGAGAGAAGAAGCGTTTAGTCAAATGTAAAAGTAAAAGTTCATTCTCATATCAATCCTAAAACTTCATTTACATGGCTTAAAGCAAAATCCAACTACCCTCGAAGCAAAAATGAATAAGTACGAAAGTTGAGTGGATGTGATCGATTTTTTCCCTCTTTCTACGTACGCTGTAGTATCATATTTGGAAAGGCATGGAAATTTCTTTTGCTGTATATATATATTCGTAAATAGAAGTAAATAAAACCTTCGGAAACAGAAGTGTTCTCAATTTGTGTTATAATGTGTGCGTGTCCTTCAACTGAAGGGGCAAATGTTCCACGTCAACCTACGTGTAAGAACACTTCTGCTGTTGGGCGGTCAGGCAGTCCGACGAACAGACGATTGGACCCACGAACGGATATGCAGGGCATGCCTAAGTCCATTCAGAATTTGATGCTCGTCAAGAATATAAGTAACTAATGAGGTCTTTGTGGCTTCTTTCTGAGTTCTGCAAACGTTTTGGTAACAAATATATCCCCACATCCTTCGATAGTAGATATAAAACGACGTGAAACGTAACTTTTGAACTGGATCTTTTTCTATTGGCTTAGTTTAAAACAATAAATGGTCGCTTATATATATTATCATTTTAACATTTTCATATTCTTTAGATAGATAACAAATACGTAGTACGTTTGACTACAAACTACAGAGCAGATTATGTATTATTGAAAACATATAAGACATATTACCGTCAAGCAATGCTGATCTTTAGATACTTCACACCACGCCTAGTATAATTCTATAATTCTATAATTGCGCATCAAAATGCTAGCTTTTGAATCGATCGATGCAGTTGAACGTGGTTCCATCTTAATTCCTTTTTCAGGTTGGATAACGTCGTACAAACTTAATACACCCTGCACCGCAAGAGAGTGAAATCATGAAACTATTGGTTTGAAACTTAGCTCAAACATTGCGAGTTCTTGCAAGCAGGTTGGTATTGGAAATGGGGTAAATCGGCTGAACGACATGCTTACAGCACCACGTAGACTGCGAACACCTCTGTTTTTTGAAAGGCATAAAGCATTGATTTTTTGCTTATTACTTATAGCAGATAAATATACAAAAATTTGAATGCATGTTCTATGGGCGACACTGTAGCAAAATGGAAAAAATTGATCACACCTACCCCCTATTACAGCAAGTCAAAATTTAATTTTTTTTCAATACTTTTATAAGCCACAGGAACAAGCTTCAAAAACCCCATAAAGTATATAAATTCTAGACCAGTTTCAAATTTGGGATGCACCTAAACATGCTCGCCTGTTCATCTATCCATCTGTCCGTCTGCGCATTTGCATTTATAAAAGTAAAGTATTTATTTCCCGTAATTGTGTAACAGTAGCACTGCAGTTTATCTTTTCTTTAAAGATTGAATGCGCTGCAGCATCAGCACTGCTTTGCGGCGAAGAATAGTGATTAAAATAGTGGTTAAAAACCCACTATTTATGTGGATGTATATTTTCTGGCTGCAAATCTGGTACCGTGTGTGGTTTTTGTTGCAAATTCTAATTTTTGTTTACATGCTTTGTTTATTTATCATAATATTTATTAATTTATAACTTATTTATCATATATATATATATATATAACTGTTAATAATATTATTAATATCTTTATTATTGTTATTATTATTAACCTTTAAAATCTGTACTATCGAAAAAATAATATATTCGTTTTTTTAAATTTCAATTTTTGCATCACGTCTTTTTCATATAATATATTTGCGTTTACATATATGATATACTAAACTATAAAATTATTTTTTTAATTCAACTTTATACTTTTAACGAACAACTTTTTTCAGTAATTGTACTTATGAATTATTTAATTGAATTCGAAGAGCATAAGAAGCTTCTCTTGAAAAGAAATCTGTTCAAGATATTGTATGACTTAAACAAAGCATTTGGTATACGATGTATGCTACACGATGTATGCTATACGATGAATTATGTTAATTCTGTAGTTACTTGGCGCATAAAACAAGAAGAATTGCTTCAAAACGTTTTCATGTTTAAGGAAATAAATTAACGAAGAGATTTCTCTGACAGCCATGAATACCAGATCTAAGTAAAGTAAGCCAATTCGATTTATTTTCCTTTTTTTCAATTTTTTTTATATTAAAGTAATTAAAAGACAAACTCAAAGTAAAAGTTGTATACAAGAAAAAGGGAATTATTCTACAAAGAAAAAATTTGCCATATCCACTGTACTTCTTGAAGTTATGTCTATTATGTCTATTATTTTTCCGGCAACTCTGACTGTAAACATATGTGCGCTCGTTTGGTATTTGTTGCGGAAGGGATTTTTTTTTTAATAAAGATCTTAATTTTCTTGTTAAATTCACAAAAAAAAAAATATTAATAATTTTTGATAATGTCAAGTGTATAAAATTCTATCTATGCATCAATTAAAATAAAAAATCTTTTTCTTATATATTAAATGATAGGCTTGATATTCTGTGATAGTGTGTGTAGAAAAGCAAGCAAAATTCACAGCCTGTTTGGGTGGCTGCTGAAATCTCCTTTAGACAAAAGATGAAAGGCGTATGTGTAAATAGAGCATAGATATTGGAAAAATTCATCATTATAAGAGCAACAGCAGAAAATGTGTATAAAACACTTATAAATGGTAAATGTTTATTTGATGAGGGTTTTCAATTGCATTTTATGCGCGCATACATAGGTGTGAGTGCAGAATAACACAACAACAGCAACAACAACCACAGCCGTAAACTGTAATAAACATGGCAAGAAGATAAGCACGGTAAATAAACAAAAGAATGCAAGAAAAAAACTGAATATAGTAACTAAGCATGTATAATAACAGTAACGAGAGAAACAGTGTATGAACAGCAAAAATTTTATAGAAATTTGGAAAAAGAATATTAGGGTTAGGGCATAAAGTGTAAGTAGTTCATATATCTAAAAATAAAATGGAAATTTTAAAGAGCTAAAATTTAATAAACTACTGTGTGCTGTGTACTATGTAAATGGTAATATGTGAGAAACATCTACACAAAATTTCGTTTAATTAAGAACAGAAGAATATCGACGCATTTGAGGCATATATATGAAAATTGGTGCTACAAGAACTAGTAAAAATATTCAGGGATATATCAGTTTTTTATAAAAGACGATAATATATATGCATTTACAAATTTTTTTACACTGACAAAAAGTAAAGGATTAGTCAAGCAAGCATATAGAGAGGATATAAATAAAATGGTGACTTTATTAGAAAAACTGTCATAATTATAAATTATAAAAAATAAGAAGAAACAATAAAATGGATAAAACACAATTTTCAGTTAATTTTACGTAAAAGATTCACTGCCTTTAAAAATGAAAAAAAATAATTTTTAATTAACAATAATATAAGAACGCTGTCATGTATGAAACATTAACACATTATGTCAACAAAAACTTATGAAATTTCAGTCAAGAGAAATGTAATTTTTTCATAACATTTTAAATTGCTTTGCCAATTTGAAAATAAATCTTGACTTTTAAAATATCTAAAACATCTCTGTTTAAAATAATTAAACACGTCCCTGTATCAATATGAAGATAAAAACAACTATCTACAACTCCAACCATACATGCAAGAGAGAAAGAGATATCTAGTTTGCGTAAAGAAAAGATTTTTAGATTTTTGATTTAGTATTTCGAAAATTAAACAAGAAAATTTTCTTCCTCTTCGCAAAATTACAAAAGCAACTGAAATCTAAATTAATGTATCTAAATTTGACATACCAATACGTATAAAATTAAACACAATAAAATTGAAGATGTCAGCCGGCTTAGAGATTACAATGAGAAAAACTATGGTTGCAGCGGGTGTAATCAAAGCAGCCACAAACGTTGCTTCTACCACTGTTTCAAACGACACAAATAAGAACGAAAAATGTATTGTTGAGTCGCCCGCGAACGATTGCGATGCATTTATAAATACGTCGTTGTGCGTTGAACATCGTGTTACAGAAAGGGGTGACGCTCTAACGGATAGTAATGAATTACAAAAGGAAGATATTAACAAATTGTTAACACGGGAAGAAATTTTAAAAAATTCATCGACCACAATTACTTGTAATTTACGATCTCCGATTACTCCAAATCCGTTTGGGTTAAGCGTTTTGCAAAACGCTGCTGCATCTTCGCCGCCACCTCACAGTTATAGGCATTCGCGCGCATATCGTCATTTCAAGAATCCTCCTCAACCGCATATGTGCATACGCACGACAACTGAATCAGGCGAAGAGTTATTTATAAACGTTCTGAGTTGGACTCGCATTGTTATACCACAGGAACCTAGTGATCCTATTCCTTTGTATGGCGGTATGCGAGTAAGTAATGTTTTCAAGAACACAAAATGACTATCTTACTGGTTGTATGGTTGGTATCATTACTATACTATCATTCATGCATTTCAGGTACCGCCTGGCAGTCCACGCAGTCCACCCGTTGTTTTTGCAGTAATGGCCAATCCAGAAGTTTTAAAAGATTCTGGTCGGCATAGCAAAGATCCCGAAGAACGTCGCGCAATGGTTGAACTTATGTGCGATTTTGTTGAGGCAATGAACCCCGGTATTAAGTTAGTGAGGTAAGCTTCATTTATCCATGCTTGTGATTGCAATCTACGCGGTATTTTATTCGGTATATAATATAAAATGCTTGCATATATTATATATAATCAGGGTAGGCAATGTTAGCTTTCCTGTCAACCCAGCCAAAACTTTGCAAGCTAAAATGACGATGGGGAATGTATTCTTTTAGTGTAACGCCTTCCCCGTGGGAATACACCTAGCATTTATTATTTAATTGCTCTTAATTATTAATTAATTATTTATTCCTGTTGCTAAACAGCGAATTAGGATTTTAAAAGATTATAACAGATAATTATATGATAAAAACGCTTGTAGGAAAATTGATATATCAAAATATTTTCTATTTTAATTTCTTTCCTTCAGAAATGCTATTATTCTGAAGGATCGTGATATATCTGGCGAATTAAAGGATGTTTGGAACGCGGTGCAAGCTCAAAGGGATCGTGAACGTGAAGAACAAATGCTGCAACAGCGACAACAGCAGCAACAACATTATCATAATATGACAAATGTGTCAAATGGCGCGGTTTCCGCCACAACACAGCAACTATTTCCGAAATCTATATTAACAGCAGAAGGTACACCACCGAGATCTCGCAAAATTTTAGATGATTCGTCTATTAATGCATCTGCGAATGGTGCTGAGCAGAATGTATTTGTTGCAAAATTAGACAATAACGCTAGTACGACTAGCGTCGAGACAAAGACTGTAAAAGATCGTAACTTTGAAATGAATAATCCATTAATCGAGGAGAACAAACAAAAGACTGCAATTAAATCCTCAACAGACGAGGACGCTGTTAGGACCTCTTCAATTCAAGAAATGAATCAATTGAATACAAACTTTAATAAAGATAATACTAAAACAAGTGCCACATATGGGGTAAGTGGTAACAGTACAACAACGTCAACACAATCTACAACAAACACAACAGTTAATTGTAACGATAGTTCTATAAACTCAACGATTAATACTGTGTCCCATACATTGCCTGTCTCCTCCTCTAGTCCTGCTCCATCAACAAAAAAAGACAAATTAGGTGGATTTTTGCCAAATGGCTGCATATTCCCGCGATTCAAAAACAACAAGCATAAAGATAAAGATAAGGACAAAGAAAAAGATGCAAAATCCAAGGACAAAGAGAAGAATGTTTTGTTAAATGCTCTCAAATCGAATCGCAAAGATAAAAAATCAAATATCATCAATCAAGAGGAGAAGCAACCACAATCACAGATGGATCAATTGGAGCAGCATGCCATCACACATCATTCCGGCAACAATGCGTTTAACAAAAGTTGCCTCAATCAACTCGAATGCGAAGTACAAAAATTGGATTTAAATAAGCTGGAAACACAAACAAAAGCAAACGCTAGTGGTAGTGTTGGCGTACACTAGTGTCAAGTATCTTGTTGTGAACGACTGACAGTTGCTGCATTTTACACGTATTACTATATACTCTTATTCTTCCTTTGGCTGTCTTCATATATCTTCCTGTTTCTTCAAGTACGCACTATGTAAGTACTTAAGAGTTAGCATAATCCCAAAGCTCGTTAAGTTATGCATATATGCATGCGTTTGGGTAAAAGTATTTCAAAATTATTTCCTTTTTTCTCGAAAATAATGTACATTTTCAAATTATTTAGCAAGAAAACTTATTTTTAGGACATAATTTATTTGCCAAACAATTATTACCTATAGAAATACTGTTAAGTACGGCGTTAAATTTTCGATTACTTGCACTTTTAACCGAAAACCATGGATGGTTGGATACTTGTATTGCATTAGTTCATTGGGATTCGGCTGACATATGTATAAATGAACCAAATCCAATGATATTCAATATTCTGATACCAATGGCTCTACTGGTTATTTCACAGATGCGCCCAGTCAGTATATATACATAGAAAACATTGGATCAAACAGTTTGTCTGATCCGTTAAGCAGAAATGGTAAGCGCCTTGAATCTGCTTACGTATGAGAAATAAATTAGGTCGCCCGGAGTACGTACATAATGATGTAAGATACTATTCGAGATACATTCCGAAAAGTCAAGCATGATTGACTTCTCGAATTGACATGATAGTGTTCATCAACTGCATAACTGCGCGTAGAAGCAGATATCTCCGCAAACATTTCATATGATTCAGAGGGCCGCAAATGTGCTTGCCCGATCAGCCCGATGTTATTTGTAAGTGAATGAAAGCTCGATTTTAATTCATATGCGTTGAATGGAAATCCGCCATATTCTCCCTATTCTTTATCGCTTCTAGGATATCAGAACGAATGCCCCAAAGAATCTGTACTTTTTAGCTTCGACGTGAAAAGTTGTCTAGAATAAACTATTTATAGGCGTCGGGCGCATTATAAGCACATAAGCAGCGGAAGAAAGAATACACACAAACATTCTTTTAAATTTTTTCAGAGGTCATTAAAGATAAGACATTTAAAGATATGTCACTACGTCAATTTTTTTCTTTTTTATTTCAAAATTTCGTAACGAATAAAATTCAATGTGTATTTTGCTTTATGAATATATTCATAGCTGGTTGTTCAAATTTGTTTAATGGTTATATAATACGATACATCCCCCTTTCACTTGTATCCTTCGCCACGTTATGTACTACTTCTCCGAAGACTATGATATTCGTTGATTGAATTGTGTACAGCAAAATTTACATGGAAACGTGGTAAAGTCTATGTTGAGCATCCTTATTTTCACCGTTATCGACATATGTATACTAATTTTGTCGAAACGTTTGCAATTCGGAAACCCTACAAAGTATATATATATAGATTATATTATATTATATATAAGTATATATTTTGAGTCAGCACATACCAAATTCTGAATTAATTTAAGCATGTTCGTCCGCCCGTCTACGTAATGTCTGTTGTAAGCATTCTCCTGGCTGCAAAAGTGACACTATCGATTTAAAATTTGGCGGAAATATTGAAAATTCTTGCACACAGGTTGGTGTTGAAAATTATTGGGCCAATATTATAACGTATCAAAGCTTAATTTTTTTTTTTTTCAATGCCTTTATAACACGCAGAAGCAAGCTTCAAAAACGCCCTGAAGTATATAAACTCTTGGCCAGTTTCAAATTTGGAATGCACCTAAATATGTCCGTCGGATTGTTCGCTTGTCTATTTGCGCGTCTGCTGTATAGTATATGTACTGTACAGTATATGTAACCGTGTAGTGTGTGTGTGTGTGGTAATCATTTTCCCGTTCGTAAGAATGAAGATGTCGTCTACAAATGTGAAAAAGAATTTGAAAATAATCCCACCCGTTTAAAGGGCAAAACTATGCAACAAAAACTGTGACACCTTTGGTTTCCGTGCGTTTTGCTTGTTACGCATAAAATGCAACATATTTGCGTCATATAAATTTTTACTTTTATTCTGGAAATGGAAAAATTCAGCCGCGCCCACCTAATACAATAGTGACTGAAGATTTAGTTTTTTAATTTTGTTTAGTCGACGGGGGATATGAAAAATACCTTCATGACCGAATATAATTTTTTTAGTTGTTAGATATTAGATGATATATTTTAGGTTATTTGAAATCGTTATTGATTACGTTTAAACGAATTTTTTCGTAGATTTTATAGAAACTCATTGTTACGGCCGTCAAGGGATTTTATACTAAATGATTGTGTAAGGAGATCAATCAAAGCTCTGCCAATTGATATACAACACCGATTTCGTGCATTTCAACAAATTTGTAATTTTTTTTTCCCCCATCAATACCTTTTCCTTTTGGCTTTATACAGTGTTGGTACAGCATGGAAGTAAGATTTTTTTTTATTTAAATACATTTATGTGTGGCATTTAGAGGCACAACCTATTTAATGCTTTTTAGAATAGTCTTTTACTTGGATGGCGCCGGCAGTCAGAATATTTCGAAAGAAATGACATTTGTACACGAAATTATTTTCTCAATTATTTCTCAATTAAATAGTATATATCTGCTAACTAATAGAGGTTTTCTTCTTTTTTTTTTTTTTTTTTTTTTTTTTTTTTGTAATGAACTTACGGCTTCCTTCCGCTCAGAATAAATTCGATCAAAACTGATTCAATTGATCGTAATCAGTAAAAAGTTAACTTCTTGCTATCCCTTTTATTACACTTGAAGAAACGAGGGTATGTGAACCCGTTGACGGTCATTTTAAAATCGGTGAGTGCTTCCAAAAATACGCTTCTTCTCGTTTGTTTTATAAGGCTGAGAATACAGGACTGCTATAGATATCGCGTGCATCTACAAGCTTACCCAACGAGGTTACTCGTCAATGGGTTAACTCGGAGAGTTTACAGGTTAAATCAAATTGAAAGAAGTAAGAAAGTTATATTCGCCTGAGATCGAATCTTGCATACCCAACACTACTCATTTTATGATGCTGCGGTCGCCTGTCTTCCTCTTTGGAAAGAAAAATCTATGCAGTGCATAATGCTCTTTCTTGTACTGTAGCTTAAGAGTAATGAGTACAAAAACATGGGAAACCAAACTATGAAAAATGTTGGAATTTATTAGCAATGAGTGGACCATAATCAATTTTTTTTCTATTTAAAGTCGATGTATCTTAATTGGGGCAAGTTGCAAAACGATTTTTAAGATTCTGTTTTGTTTATTCTACGAGTAGCAAGTAGAAAGGTTGAAAAGAGTGAAAGAAATAAAAATCTGATGGCTTTTAACCTTTTGTGGATGCGCCTGAATTTTCCTTCTTACAAATGACTAATATGGTCCTCCATGATATCAATTCAGAAAATTTCAACCTTCTAACTTTCACAATTTTTGAGAGGATCTACAAGTATTTATTGCTTATAAAGGGTGGGTGTGTCTTTTAACCGATTTGGTACTTTGTTAATACCAGCCTGCGTCCAAGAACTTCCAATGCATGTGACAAATTTTAAGTCGACATCTTCATTTTTGTGAGCAGGGCAGACGGACGCACGTGGTTACATTGATTCAGGATTTGATGTTAATCAAAAATGTATGTAACTTATCTATATCTTATCATTATGACAATATGAGTGCACTCTCATACTAGTGTGGTGGGTAAAAAAAGAAATGTTATACAAAAACACAAAGCAGTATTAAGGGAATGCCAACAATCTGGAACGTAGGAATTCTTTATTGATGATAAAGTGACGAAAACTTCAGCAGCAGAGAATTATTTGGAGAAGACTTGGAATAAAAAATCTAGCACCTAATATGTTTTAGGGATAACCCACAAACGGGTTGTTGAAAGCTTGGTAGTCGTTATTATTCTTTCTTTTCTTTTTTCTTTAAAGCTTATTAGAACGTCTGAGAAGGAGTTTCCTTTTAGTTGCACAAGCGTTACGGCTTTTCCCACCCAGAGATTTAATTGCAATCTGCAGAGATAATCTGCAATAATTATTACAATTTCATTTTCTAACACCCGAGGGCGTGCATATTCATTCCATCATTTTGGCGCTACAATCGCAATGAAGCGTCCAAAGTGAAAGGGACCGTCATACTTCCTGACGGCAGACTTGATGTTTAAAACTATTCCGTATGCCCCTATGGCGTTGCAGAGCGAAGCATGTTCATATGCAGACGTCCGCTTTGAAGGTTTTAGCTTTCTTCTTGCGAATATCATTTTATTTTATTATTTGTTTATTTAGTTTTTTATATTTTGCTTTTTTAACTTAATAGGAAAAATATCCTTTCCTTTCTATTATGTAACGTCGGTTGATTGGTGCTGGAAGAGTGCTATAATTTGTGATAGGAAGGAAATTTATGGATATCATATTTATTTTTTGAAAAAATTTGATGCTAGATTTAGACTAGAATTTTCTGATTTCGGAGATTGTTACGTCATATGAAAGATAGAAAAGTGAATGGGTCGAAAAGTTGGTTTGTATCGAATTAAGTATGATCACTACCATAAATTCTATAATTCTAGATACATTTGCCTATAGCGATATGTTGTTAGGATTCTGAATATAATAAAGCTTTCACTTGTTCATTTTATTCTCATGGTCGAGGACAATAAATTACTCCTTCTTTCCTATCGACTTTTTTTTAGGCTTTTATAACCTCTCACACGTTAGTCGTATAAAACAAGTAAGAAAATTAAATTCGGTCGGAACCGAAGTTTTTATTCTTGTCGCCGTTATCTTTAAGAAGACAAAAGAAGTAGTGGGTGGGAGCGGTTGATTTTTTCCACTTTTAAAATACAACTTTTCGTACTATACGCGTGTGGGCCATATAAGCATTTCGTTGGAAAAGTTCAAGTCACTTCCTTATTCTTTTGCACATTTGTAGGCGATATCTTCATTTTCGTTAGCGGGAGAATGTTTACCACAAATACTATAAAGTTACACAAACAGACAGATGGACAGACGAACAGGCGGACATATTTAGGTGCATTCAAGGCTTGTAACTGGCCATTGTTTACTTTATGGGATTTTTAAAGTTTTTCTCTGCGTGTTAAAGGTATGGAAAACATAATTCAATTCTGGTATATTGGGTAGGCGTGGTCAATTTTTTTGCATTTTTGTGTACAAATGCTGCAGCATCGCCCATAGAATATGCGTTCAAATTTTTGTATATTTATTTCCTGTGGTTTATGAGTAATGAAACCAAAAAAAACATTTTTCATTCTCTCAGTTTACGTGGTATCGTGGACGTGTCCTCCAACCCGTTTGGGCCGTTTTCAATACCAATTTGCGTGTAGAAATTTTCAATGTTTCTGCCAAATTCAAAGTCGATAGCTTCATTTTGCCGCCAGGAGAATGTTTACAACAGACGGACATGCTTAAATCGATTTAGAATTTGATGCTGATCAAGAATATATACACACTTTATGGGATCTCTGATTCTTCCTTCTGGGCGTTTTAAACGTTTTGACAAAATGAATATACTCATCATTCTTCGGTGATGAGTGTAAAAATTTGAAAAAGTATTTATATATGTGCCTGCGATTATGAAAGTCAGAGCTAATTGATTTGAAAGCGTAGGTGAAATGAATCTCTTTTTCGATATATATTTTCAAGTTTTGTAGTAAGAAATGCAGTTTACACGCCGGGTTAAAGTAATTGTTTGGCTTTGAACTTTGAATTCAAAATAAGTTTTTTATATATTATAATAGATCCTCTTGTTCCAGTTCCATATAATTTAATTTTTAGTATTTATATGTGTGTAATTTTAGTTTAATTAAAGCACATTACATTATTTCCTATATATGTTAAGAGAGAGGCAGAGAGAGAAGTAAAATAATTTATAATTTATTAAAAATAATGAAAATGAATGAATGAAAAACAATTAAGAAACCATCTAAGTGTTGGAGTGTTTTAGTTTTAAGTGAAAAAGAAATACCAGAATCGGTTACTGTATAATACACATTTATACTATATATATATATATATATATATATATATATATATATGAAACCAATTGTATATTAAGCAAGAATTTTGATATTTAATAAAAACCAATGTATAAATAAAAATTTAATTTAAAAAAGTTCTTTCATTTCTTGTCAAGTTTTATTAATTATTTACTGACAAAACTTCTGAGTTATTATTATTATTATTATTATTTTATTTTTTTAAAGAAAGTAAACTCAGTTTTATTAGTACATTTATGCTATGGAAGAAATAAATAAACTAAATTAATTTTTATTCGTTTTAACTAATTTTCTTACATAAATTTTGATAAATTGCCGTTAATTATTATTATTGGCCCTTAATTGTTCCAATTCCGCTCTTTCTTGCTTATTACGCAATAGCGGTACATTATAATCGAAAGCATAAAAGAATCCTTTGGGTTCACCTTGCTCGTCCGGACCGGGCACGTAAGGTGGTTCTTGATGGACGTACTCATTTTGCTGTGGAGGTGGTTCATAGCGACCCTCTTGTTGATATTCAGGAGCAAACGGATCAGGATTATGTCCGGCAGCCGCTGCCAATTCACCCCACAATTTAAAGTGTTCCTCTTCGGCTTGACGTACGGCAGGAGTTTTTGTAGGTGGCGATTTTTCATGTTCTGGCCGATTATCTTCAACGTGGAAGCCAGTTCTATCAGCATAATATGTTGCAATGAAATCGCGACCAGTGGGTTGAACATACTTATAGGTGCCAGTTACTGTGCCCGATTGATCTTTTTTTTCATTTTTACCCTGATTCCAATCTTTATAGCCATAAGCAAATTGTCCCAAACCGTCTTGCCCGTGGTATTGATGTGCATCGTAGTGTTCTTCGACATAATCTTCCGGCCGATCTATTACGCGTCCCATATATACAAATTCACCTTTCTCGTTGCGCGACTCGGGTAGTGGATTTTCGCCGGTCTTGGGGGCGTATTCAATATTATTAAATCCGGCTGATGAAGTGACTTGATTAAGGTATTGTTGTGCTTCCTCGGGCGAGATATTGATTTTAAAGATGTTCTCGGCCAAAATCAATGCGGGAAAACCCTGTATATATATATATATATATTTATTATTATAATTTGTTCAGGTCAAAAAACAATTTTTAAACCTAAAGTAGGATGAGCACAACCAATTAAGACTATTGCGTCTATTTCTTTAAAAAACATAGATTAAATGTTTAATCGATATTTGATTCGATAAGTGCTGAGAAACTGTTCTGAATCGACCGACACACACTTCAATAACTATGAAGTGGTGTAAGTTATTTAATGAAGGACCGTAGCTTACTAGAGCGTTTTCAAGTTTTCCTGCAGCAGTCGGACAAACGGATGTATGTAGGGGCAGAGAAGAATTACTACATTCACTTCTTTATAGAAAAATCTGCTATATAGTTCCGATTATTATCCAGAATATATAGTCAATACTAATATATCCTCATTCTTCATGTAGGAAACGAAAGCCGTATTTTTATGAAAAAGCTATTGAGCATGTTCAGCTCATTCATAATTGCGATCTTAGCTAATCGCTACAGTCTAAGGGATATTGCTATTATAGCAAAATACACCATAGCTGGTAGTTAAGTTCAAAAGAAAAAATAAGCGCAAAGTCAGTTCAAAGAGTATCGAAACTCTGCTTATATGCAAATATTGGCTAACAGCGGCGGCTGCAGCATTCTCAGTTGTTTCTAAAATGTCGTAGAAACTTTCCTTTATAAACAAGCAAGAAAGTTAAATTTGTAACTGGTTTGTATGAGAAGCAATAACTAAAACACGACGTAAGCCGGACTAATGTAAACAAACTTTAAAGGTCATAAGTGAAAAATTTAAATTTTTTACTGCCGTTCATTGGAGAGCAAATTACTTTCCACAGTTTGTTAATTTGAAGTGACGCTACGTAGACGCTGCTACAAATGTTGCTTATTCCCAAGTTTATTGATTTGACACCTATTGATTTCATTGCGTCCCCAAAACTAATCATCGGAAATTTGTTACACGTGCCCTTCATTGAAATTCAAAAAAAAAAAAAAAAAAAAAAAAAACAATTTGACAGCAACTCATGAACGTGTTTCTTCCATACTACCTATCCTGCCGACTTTTATATCGTGTTGGACAATTATCATGGTAAATATATCAGAACGGGGATTTGTATTCGGATCAAAACTATTGTGAAAGTTCGTGTGCCGGATAAGATACAAACATCCAGCTGCAGCGTTCATCGGCTGTGCGTTGGTTTAGGATTGTATGCTGATACATTTTTCTATAATAGTTACAGTTTCCTCGAGATATGTAACTCGCCTTCAATGCTACAGGTGCTAATAAAAAATATAGTTTATTTATCAGGGAACAAGTAAAAGTAATATAGTCGGCCACGGCCCACCACTAAATACCCTGCACCACCCTGTAGCTAAGAACCTCTTAAAACTGTGACCTTATATGGGTAGTGGTCTGAGTGAACAATTTTCGATAGTGTTCGTCCTTGGGCCAAACTAAGCCTAATTTCATCAAAATATTAAATAAAAAATTGCAGTGTGCAAGTTCAACACACACAAAACAAGACGGACAGACAAGCTTAAATCGACTCAGAAAACGATTCTTATAATGATGGGCGATCCGAAAAAGTGATTTGGTTTGGAATCATTTTCAATAGCGATTGTTTTTATTCCAAAACAGGTTAGTGCATAAAATTTCATCAAAATATCTCAACAATTGTGGCCTGTAAGATGACGACAAGAAAACAAGACGGACGGACGCACGGGCGGGCAAATAATTTTAGCAAAAGTTGGCTCTATCTCAAATCCTTCTAGGTAATGCATATATATCCGCACTATTAAGTTTCTTCTTTGCACAACAAGTAGTGTAGTTCCTAAAAGGGATGACTGAAAACGATAATCATTCTCGATCACCCATTAAACATAATTTAACTACTCATGTTGACTGGTTGGCTAATATGTTTTGTCTCCAGGCGCCTCACCTTTTGGCGAGCTTTTAATATTAAAAAAATAAAAAAAAAAATTTTCTCATCTCTTTTTAAATCTTGTTTATTGGAATGTACTAACCATCAACAGTAGGAGGACACTTAGCCGCGAACACTTCATTTTCGTTATATTTGCAATTAAAAAACGATTTATATCACCAACGTTTTTATTTACACTTTATTTACAAATTGTATTTAATTTTATAAACTTTTTCATATATATTTCAATTCTGTTAACTTTGCACCGTTTGAAATATTATTAACTTAAGTTCACATGAGTCTTTCTATTTATATGTTTTGATTTTTGAATCTGTTAAATTCAAGAGAGATGCTCTGTTCCGTTTACTTAAAACGTAAAAAAATAAAAACAAATAAAAACAAATAAAAACAAATAATAATAATAATAATAATAAAGAAGAACAACAACACATATAAACGAATTTCTTATTAGTTACATTGTGTGAGTGAAGATGTTCTAAACGGCATTCATTAGAATAAAGAATGAGAAATTGTTGTTGCTTTAAGCCGGGGCGGCTTACTCATGTAAGCTGTTTAACTTCGATTTCATTAAGTAAAAAAAAAAAAAAAAAAAAAAAAAAAGAAAAAACAATGATTTGGTTTAATCGTGATTTTTGTATAATTTCTATGTCCATCGTAGAGGGGCAACGTGCAATAAATTTCTCAGACAATTTTTAACTTGGAAATACTGTAAGTGATAGTAATATATATATTGAACCCTGTACTTCTTATCAGGATTCTCGATTTTACTGGTTCACTCATATATGATTTCGATTGCAGGGAACATTCACTTGTATGCGATCGACATCGAGCGTAATTTGACAATACACGAATCAACACTTTCGAGATATTTCTACATTTTTTTTTTCTTATTACGTATAGCTCTGACTATATTAATTGCAAAAATTGACAAAATCTTACGTGTTATGGTTGCACCTCTATTATCGGTATTATCGGTTGTAAAACTAAAATCACTTATGCCTATACATGTTCCCTTGATAGTTTTAAGAAAACGTATTCTCTTTAGTTCGAAATTGCAGCAAACCCATGCTGAGGGGGTAACAAATCATTTATTCGTTTCGAGTCGAGTGTAATTAATTTTGTTTTTTTTTTTCAAAAAATTTAAGAAACGTTAGTTAAGTAATTCTCGTTGATTACATAAACATTATTATTATTATTATTATTATTATTATTTTTTTTTTGGCATATTCTATAAGGTTTTTCCTTGTTATTACGCTATTATATCAGATGAAATGGCGCAATTAAATTTTTCTTAAAACAAATTTCGGATACTTGCCTGACACATTTCACTTTATATTAATTGAAATTAATATGAAATTTTATATATTGCAAGCATCAGTTTGTGATGAAAATTTCGTATAGCATTGAAGAAGGCATAAAGATTCCGGAATATAGTGCAACAAGTCCCTTCTGAGATGTATGATCTCTTCTTAATACCCGATGTGCGTCACAATTCAAAAGGTTTAATTACATCGCCTAGCATTTTTCGTTGGGCGGGTGTAAAAGCAATCATTTCATTTAGCATTTAATCATTTAAGATACGTATGCACCTTAATTTGTTTACGTTTATTTGCATTTAAATCAATGTGGACACAATTTATTTTATGTATTAATTAATGGCTATTTAGTCATTTCCTTTACACATGACGGATATTTATTTATAATTTAAATCTTTTAATGATCTTTTATTTATACACCTTCTATTTAGCTTTCAATTTAGTTACATTTCTAAGCGTTCTAGGAAATTTGCCCGGAAAATGCCTATTTGGCCATATAAATGATCTAAGAAAAATGAAAAATCGATAAGAATCAAATTTTAGATGACGGAGACACTGGTACCAAACTATTGAAACGATAGAAGTCAAATATTAACTTTTTGCCAAAATTTCCAGATTAGATTATGTTTAGCATCAAGAGATTTTTGCATGTATATGCATGTTAATTATAATACATAAAGTCATCAGAATTTTTAATTATTATTGTTAATAATAAAAAAAAAAAAAACCAAAAAAACTGGTTATGTTTATGCATTCATTTCGGTTATATGTTCAATTCTATCATATCATGATTTAAATGATCGTAGAGTTAGCTAAGTGCTTACCGACTTCTACATGAGTCATAATTGCCTCACCTGGTATCTCCTGCAAAAAAATATTGATATCTCTGATATCAATTCATTCAGCTGCTGCCAGAGAACATCCCGTCATATTTAACGTAAAGGCGATGTCAATAGCGAATATTTCATAAAGCTAGACACGGTCTGGCGGTGCGGATCGAAAAAGATGATGGGATTCCCAAAAGCCTGGGGAAAAGCTGGGAGGCTAGATGTATGAGTCAATAGAATAGATCTTTCAGGTCGCGGTACGGACTACCCGCATAACTCAATAATAGTAAATAGAAAAATGCTCAAGAAATAATATTTATGCGAAGCTGAGATAAGTCATTGAAACCATTTGCAAATGGCTTGGATTTAATATGATTTTGTATGTGATTTCGATTCTTTTCACAAAATTTAATAAAAAGCATAGATTATACTATTTTGCAAAGCTTGCACCATATCGTTTCTGTTATACACTTCCAGTAAGCAAAATTGTTTATGAGGTAACTGATTTCTTACCTACCTCACCAAAGGATGAGGGTTTTATTCATTTTGTCAAATCCTTTGAAACGCCCAGAAGGAAGCATCAGAGATCCCACAAAGTATATATATTCTTGATCAGCATCAAATCCTAAATCGATTTAAGCATATGTGTCTGTCCGTCTATGTAATGTCTGTTGTAATGCGCTCTCCCGGCCGCAAAATGGAGATATTGCTTACAAATATGCAAAAGAATTTGGAATTGACTTTAACATTTCAAAGGGCACGCCAACAACGCCCACATGGCTCGATGACAGAAACTTTTGTTTTGTTTTGAAAATAGAAGAAATCAGCTGGGCCTACGCTATATTATAGAGTACGAAAATTTCGTTCTATTACTCTTTATGTATTTTTTAAGATAATGGTGATGGGTGCAAAATATTCGGTCCCGACTGAATTTAACTTTCCTAGTTGCTTGTATTGAGAAAATCTTTTGCTAATGTCTAGGGAATCGTTTTGAATGCATTAGTTTTTCTTGTGTCAGTTGCTCAAACATTTTAAATTTTTTTTTTAAAGTTTACCGTTTTTGTCATGCATATCCTCTAATACTTTTAACAAATCTTTATGTTTGAGCTCACATTGAAGTATGTCCTATTTGTGTATGTTTCCATATATCTATATCCATATACATATATATAATAATAATATAAATTAATAATATATAGCCATTTATTCAATCCAATATCAAATGGGAATATGTTTAATGAAGTGATACAAGTAATCGATATAAAAAAAGGCCAAGGACGTAGCGTTAACAAATTTACAAGTTACTATAATGTTAAGCTTTTATCGGACAATATTTTCATATATAAGACAGCGGGTGTGTCTACCTATATTCCTTTCTACGATACGTTTTCTCTCGAAATATATTTCATTTTACATAAAGCAAATGATATTAACGTGCTAAGTGAATAAACTTCTTTCCAGGTATTTTGTTTATAATATATTACATTTATTATATATTTTTATATCCATCTAATAAACATAAAATCATCATTAGTAAGACAATTTTATGTCTATTAGATATTTGCTAAAATCAAATACGTCATTCAATTAGCAAATCATTTTGATTATGAAAGCCGGATATATTTATTTGAAATGCTGCCTTTTCTTCGTTTTCTTCTTCACTCCTTTCCAGCGAATCGAGTGCGAAAAAAAATTATTTTATTAACTCATTAAAAATCTCGCTCGAAACTGCATAAATTAAAATCACTTCTTAGCAGAGTTCATGGGTTTCTTATACTCAAACAACTAGACAAAGTACAACTATTTCGTCAATTCAGTTGCAACACTTTGCGAGTGCACATCACTCACTCCATAAACGTGCAAATGTACTTTACTAGCGAAAGATTTTAAGTCGACTTTTTGTTATTTAAATTCTCATTATCATATAGTATGAGACAAAATGGCAAAGACGGAACTCCATTGAACTCCACTATAAGCAGATAATTACCAAAAAAAAAAAAATAATAATTTTTTTAAATTTTAAAATCACTGAAAATTCGAATCAAGGGGTGGAAAATTATGACACATATATCAATCTGAATTGAACACATTACCGGATGGATGCCATCTTGGAGAAAGCTACGAAGCAAGCAGTGATTGCTCAATTGACACAATCGCACGCGATTACCTTCCTTTTTTTTATTGATTTGATATTAAAATCTTAAATTTCATATATATTTATATATATTTTATTGGAAATAATAAGACAGTCAGGATGCCACAGTCGGGCGAGGCCGATCATTAAATACCCTACATCACACTTATAAACTCACTTTCATAATAATACTCCAAAAATGTTATTTCATTTTTATGTAAATGCATAATTTTCATGAACGCCCGCATATTGGATGGCGTTCAAAACGTCAGCTGACGTGGTCTAAATTTAGCAAATTCAATTTACTTGTTAAAGATCTTCTTATTTTCCAATTACTGTCGTCATAATAAACCACAGATTCGACCTTGTCGCCGCTAGCCTGAGCTTGCTTTTATGAGAGCCACTATATATGGTGCGGTCTAAAAAATAGTCCCATATGATCCAAATTCTCTATGGTTGGTTTAATGAGGATAGAATTAGGCTTTTTTAGCATAGGAAATTTTCTTTTTATTAGAACGCTTATGAGGGTTGGAGTCCAAAATATTGACATACCTGGACAAAATTGAGCAACGTTAATTTTTATGTCCGATGTCTTTCTATATATTTTTGTGTTCAACATGAAAACGATTCGGATCGTTCGACTTTTTCACAAAATTGGTCATTTTCAAAAATTTCTCGAAAAAAGTCAGTGAATAATAGTGCTGCCTGTGGCAATTTTTTGAATCTCTTCTCATATAACCGTTCCTACGAAAAATGAATCCTTATATGGCAAAAAGGACTAATCTTCAATACTTTTTAATAAAAATTCGTTCATAATAATAATTTGATATGAAAATTAGCATTACCAAAATTTAGATCACATAGGTCTCTTTCTTGGACCCCATTTCATATAAGATGTCTTATAAATAGTAAGCCCTCGAGAAAAGGATTGAATTTTTAATGTTTTATAATGAAAGTTGATCCATAGGGGCTATTCGGGAAAAAAATTAACGACAGAGAATTTAAATCAGATAAGTCTATTTTTCAGGCCCTAACATATATAGAGATTATCACGCAAAGCAAGCCCTTATAGGGGGAGCCAATCCAATCTCAAGTTTTTTATCACTTTTAGAAGGAAAATTAAGTTTGCAAAATTTGGATAACGACATGCGATGCTTCGAGTATCATCCAATATGCGGGCTTTCATAAAAGGTATGCCTTTGCATGTAAATAATGTATAATTTTTGGTGTATGACCACCAAAACCACTGGATAAATACACTAGTAAAATTGATGTAGGACATCGAATGGTTGCCCTTACTATTTACGACTGTAATGTTCTCTCTTGTTCTATATAAAAACAGTAAATTTGTTCACAATCAGATTTTGTCAGTTTTTATCATATGTCGTCAATTTAGTACCAATTTCCGAAGTTTCGTTAGTCCGACAATGAATTAATTTGCAAAAGCTTCGAAATATGTTTTGAAAATATATATTACAAATAAATCATTTTCTTAAAAATGCTGTGTCCGTAATTTTTTCCAATTTTTTTTATCAATTTCCGTCATTCATCATAATTCTTCTTTGATACTAATTCGTTCGTTGTTATGAGCTCAATAGGGGGCTCGTATAGAATAACTAAAACGACCTCAGTTTTTGAAATTTTTTCGGCGTACGCCCGGGTGTACATATTCATTTTTTTTTCTGGGGGTGTGGCTAATCAATAGGTATTACGCCTTTACCGATTAAGCACTCACTATAACTGCCGCTAAAGTACACACTACCGCGTAGCCTTAGACCGGCAAGAACAGATCTTGGTAGTCGCGACTCTTACCTACTCGGGCACTTATGCGAACAAAATGTGTCTCTAAATTCAACTTAGCCAAGCAAAATCGGCATTCGCCGATGCATTACTATAATCTCTTTGTCACGGTAGATTCCTTATGGAGGTTTAATGTCCGCACCTGGCATGAAGCCTTAATCAGACGGGTTGCCTACAACCATCGGCAATTAGTATAGTTCAATTGGGGACCCCTCAGGCAATAAGACATTTCTTATTGAAGAGGGCCTTACTACCCCGACGTACAGAATTAGAAAATGGGTGAGGGCCTCTTCCTCGCACACTGGTTATGTCTTAGAAAGTTCTCCACGGAAATTCGAAGTAACCACAGTCACCACGACACTCTCCGAGGGGCCGTACCCAAGCAGTCAGGTAAGAAGACATTCTTCCGACAGCCAGGTGGGTCCATTTTTCTTCCAGGAGCAATCCTACTTTTGCGCAACCTGACCTCGTGGATACAGACTAAAGTTCATCGCTTATCGATCGTACAGAACTAACACCATGCTATACAGCTTTGGGTAAGATCTTACTGTAGGCAACCGTTACCACTCTTGCCTTCGGACTCTTCAGCTGGTATCGGTGCTTTCAATGAAAAGTATGTGATAAAGCCAAGCATTTCTTTAAATGTTTAAAATGAATTCCTTAACAAAGTCAAAGATTGATAAAAATTTAGATATTGGAAATGATTTTGCTTTATGAACTGAAGTGAGGTAAATATATATAAAATATATCATAGGAAATATTATATTCTGTATAACATGAAATTTTCAAATTGTGGAAATATATCTGTTGGTTAGAAGAAGATATGCATTGTGGACACTCGATCTGCAACCATTATACAAAATCAATGTTTTTGCTTATGCTCATGCCATATAATTCCATAAACAAGCGCACGAACACGCACGAACACACTCTAGTATGACCAATATAGTACAAACACATCCGTTCGCATGCCTGCTCGATACATTTTACTATTGCATACATGTGTTTGGAGAGCGTGGTTTCACGTAATACGTCGCATTAAGCTTATTTCAGCTTTTCTTCGATCTTTTGCCCTGGTTGTTATTTACCTGTGCCTTGTATTCTTTTTAGTCAAATTTCGCTAAGAAATCTCTAGCACAGGAATGCTTCATCTGTATACATAGACATTTCGAAGAAGAAGTGTTTCGTAATCGATTGGAATATTACTTTGACAAGAAGCATGTTATTATCGACGAAAGACTGAATCGCGATCAATCTAAAAGTGTATCGCAATCAATTAAGTATAACATCACATAAATACATATCATTGACGATCAACCGTAATACATAAACAAAAGCCGACTAGCGACGGTTTTGCTGGTGGCTATCTGCAAAGTATCATATAATTATAATAGAAATAACGAACTTCGCTAAAAATGGCTCTTATTTATTATACCCTACAGTGTTTGTGGACAGGATGTATTTGCTTTATGCGACTAAGTCATATTTAGCATTTAAAGGGACTTTATATTAAATCGACATACGTTTGTCTGCCCGTCCTTCTGTACGAGGTCTGTTCATGTATTCTTGTTCTTAACCTATAAGTCGCAAATTTTTAAGATACTTTCACGGAATTTTGTACACTGGCTTGTTTTCGCACAAGGCCTAAACCTTCTGAAAATGGATTGGATCGGACCACTTTTGCGATTAATCGCGTAATGTGAAACAAGCACTTATATGAAAAACAAATAAAAATATCGCACTCGGACAAGGCCAACAGATGTTCGCCCAAAAATTATTCATTATTTTCATGTAAAGGCTTACTACGTCCTACTGAAGTCCCCACATTGGTGTGACTCAAATTTTGCAAACTTAATAAAGATTTTATTATTTTTCATTGAGTTAAGTTAAAATATCAAATTGTTTTTATAAATCAATTTTAATCGTAGACCATTACAAATTTTTCTTTATTTGGCGTATAATGGGTTAATTTCTTATGAAAAATCTTACATGATTGTATAGACTTGCATGGCTCAGATATTGTTAGGTTAAGTTCAACGTCAAATTGCTATAATGGGTCAATTTTTACTATGTAATGTTGAAAATTAAACATGTTTACTATAAAAAAATTAATTTGTCTACGTTATATAGGAGGAACTTCAAAAAATTGCCTTATCCGATAAAAATTTTTTTAGCTAACCGCCAAAATGAATGCCGAAATGTTATTACTTAGCGAGGAATTTTAAAAACTGAAATTATTCTTCATATTCTTCATAAGATTTAGGGAAAAATTTGTTCGATCCAACATGCATTCAATAGTGTTCGTCCTTGGTCCCGGAACACGTCAGTGTACGAAATTTCATCAAAATTGCTCAGTAATTACGACCTATAAGTTCAACACAAAAAATACAAAATACATTGACGAACAACAGACCAGCCTAGAAAGTTTTAGAAAATGGCCCTTGAAGTCCTTTTGAATGTTGCGCACATCGGCACAAACTGAATATACATACTCGGTACGATCAATGCTGAAGAATATAAAAACGATTATATTATATTATATATTATAAAAAAGTTGCTCACCATCGAGCATTGGAAACAAATCTGGCATCGTTCTCGTTTATTTAAAATTAAAAACTTTATCTTTAAGTCAAGCTTTGTGTGTGTGTTGTTTTTTTTTTTTTTGTTTTGTATAAAAATTTGCTATCGTAATCAGAATAAAGCTCTACACTGGCTATAAATAGCTTTCGATTAGATAAAGCGTTGAAAATACATGTGTTGGTTTATACTTGAAAATTGTGCAGAACAATATCTCGGAACTTTTAGTTTTTCTCAACTAAACCAATTGAAGATTTTAACGCGGACAAAAAAAAACAAGACCAGCCGAATACGAGGGTGAAGAAAAGAAAAAATGAGACGTCTCTTACAACAACAAACACGCAAGCTGCAACGTGAAGAGTTATTTTCAACAGAAACCGGTAAAATAGTGGGCGGCTTTGCTAAGCCATATAACGATATACCGGGGCCAAAAGGACCGTTGAGTTTGGGTAATATTTTCAATTACTTACCAATTGTTGGTAGTTACTCGTGGCTAGAGTTGCACAAAGCCAGTCGCGACAAATATGACAAATATGGCGTTATCGTTAAAGAGACTATGATACCCAGTGAGGATATTGTCTGGCTGTATGATCCCCGAGATATAGCTACCTTACTAAACGAGAAAGATTATCCATTACGTCGAAGTCATTTAGCATTGGCTAAGTATCGTAAAGATCGTCCCCATATTTATAGATCAGCAGGCCTATTGCCAACGTAAGTAGAGGAAAAATGAAAAATTCACAAAAATTCTATCAAAATATACATATAACACAAATTTAGCAATGGCAGTGAATGGTGGCGCCTACGTTCTGAATTGCAAAAAGAAATTAGTGCTCCAAAATCTGTACGTAGTTTCCTACCTGACGTTGACGAGGTGACAAAAGAATTTTTACATTATTTACCAAAAAATCAAAGTTTCGATGCTTTACCAAAGATATCACGTTTAAATTTAGAACGTAAGCGCGTCCTAGCTAATTATGAGTGTTCATCTGCCCACTAATTAATGATTCGAAATTTTTTATAGTGACCTGCCTAATAACGTTTGGTGAACGACTTGATTCATTTGTGGCCGTTGAACAGCTACCTAATTCGAGATCTTCAAGACTTATGCTTGCTGCCGAAACAACCAATAGTTTAATTTTACCCACCGATCAAGGCTTTAAATTATGGCATTATTTTAAAACGCCATCTTATATCAAATTAAGCAAATCTCAAGAATATATGGAAAGTGTTGCTATAGATCTGGTATCTCAAAAATTATGCTTTTTCAAGGAATCTGGTGCCGGCAGTCCTTCAACGCTACGAAGAACTTCATTAATCGAAGAGTATTTAAAAAATCCTAATCTAGATTTAAGTGATGTTGTAGGAATGGCGGCTGATTTGCTTTTGGCAGGTATTGACACCACATCATACACTACAGCCTTTGCACTCTACTATATAGCCAAAAATCCTCAGGTTCAGCAGAAACTGTACGAAGAATGCGAAAAAGTTTTAACGAATCAAACCTCTCCCCTGGAAGGTGATGTGCTTAACACGGGAGTACCTTACGCTAGAGCATTAATGAAAGAGGTTTTTCGCTTAAATCCCATATCGGTGGGTGTTGGTCGCATATTGCAACGCAATCTTATACTTGGCGGCTATCATGTCCCTAAAGGGGTAAGTAAATCTGCATATTATCCTATTAGGAAAAACAAGACAGAAGAAAATGTTCAAAGGCGTATTAATTCATATAATGCAGACTGTGGTAGTAACACAAAATTTGGTTGCCTGCCGTTTGGAATCGAATTTCAAAGATGCCTTAAAATTTAGACCAGAACGTTGGCTTGATCACCCTAGAAGTTCTATGAATCCGTATTTGGTGTTACCATTCGGTCATGGCATGCGGGCTTGCATAGCTCGTCGTTTAGCGGAACAAAATATACTAGTGTTCCTAATACGGGTAATATTTAACATATGCACATATGAAATTAATTTATGTTATGCTTACTCGGATATAAACCTAAAACTCTTTGAATTTTTTAGCTAATACGTAACTACGAAATCATGTGGAAAGGCAACGATGCTGAAATGGATATTAAAACGTTGCTAATAAATAAACCAAGTCTGCCGGTCGATATTGAACTAAAAGAAAGATCATAAACGTACCGTCATTTACAAGTCTAATCGCCTAGAACGTTGTTAAAAACGTATAAGCGTTTAAATCTTGCATCTGATTTACATGCATAAAATCGAATGTAAATTAGCAGTATATACCTATATAGGTTTCCTCTCTTTTTATTTTTATTTTCATTATTATTATTATTATTATTATTATTATTTTTATCAACAAATTAGATTTAGTTACGTACATACAAACAAACATATAGATTCTTTTATATTTCATGCAAGAGGGGAAAGAAAATCAATCAACGCTATTTTAAATAATCGAACATTTTTGATATATTTGTGTATTTATACATGTATATATATCTACATATATATATATATACTTATGTATATACTTATATATATATATATATATATATATATATATATATGGATTTGTGTCTGTTTATTTCTACGAGCGTTTGTATTACACTTAAGTAAGCGTGAATTAAAAAAAGAAAAATAATTAAAAAAATTACATTTAAATATATTGTTTTATAAAGGAATTATATACTAAAAGGCCTACTTGTTGATGGACTATAGAACTATTTGACCTTGTCTTGTTGGTGTCTTCAATTTTTTATTAACGTTTATTGAAGATGTTAAACAAAAAATGTTTGCTCAACTTTGATACCCGATTTATAACGAGCTGAGGTCAAATAATAAGACATACAAAGTCATTATTTTTCTTATTGTATAATAAAGGGGTCTATGCTAATCTATCTGTTGGTTAAGACCGTCAAATTGTTGCAGTTTTCTCTCAGAAATGGCTAGATGACACATTAGTCTTTTTTACTTAACTATGATATACATTTATTAAATTAACAAACTAAGGAAAGACATACATACATTTTCGATTTATATGTTCGTAATGTTTTCCTATATAAATATGTGTCTTACACACCTTTTTTATACATATATCTCTAAATTCAATCTCTAAGCTTGTTCTTCAACGTTTACTTTCATTTCTAAATTTGTTTGTTTTTTTTTGTTTTTTTTCAATCCAGATAATATTTCCTTCTACGTACATTTCCCTAATTGTTGCTAAGTTAACTGTTTGTCGTAGACATATTTTATATTTACGTATAATGTCGTCGAAAAATGTCGACGGAGCACAATCTCATATTTCCTGACTTTATGCAAGAATAAGCTTTGGTGTTAAACATTATTGCGCACAATAAATACATTTAAATGATTGCAATGTTTGTGTCGAGGATGTTCAAGCTACGGTTGACGGGCCACGTGTAACTTAAAGCAAATATCAATAGTCAACCTAATAATTAGATTTATTGTTATATGTTATTAGAAATAATTAAATAACAGCCCGTCTAATTCCCTTCCGGCCCAGAAATGTCGAAAGTGCGAATGCCCTTGATTTATATGAAATTTGGTAGTGGTGTGTGCTCTTGGCAAATATATGAACGAATGATTATGAAAGCACAAGTATTCAGTAATGCTTTACGGATATATGTTAAATGTCTCTACGGGTATTCATATTTATTAGGTTCTGCTCACTGGTTTACAATTCCAGTAACAGAACTTCCTCGTGCTAAAGTATGTTCAACGAGGTTGGATCCATCATACGATCATCATATAAACTTAAAGTTTTTGACGCTCGAACTTTTCGAACTGATGGTGGTACGTCTCCAGGTGTCTTCACTCGCTGGCTTGGATTTCTAAGCCGTTCACTACTGGCACGTGCATTAAAAACTTCGCGGAAAACTTCCAAACTGCGTTGCCTACGGAATTGTGGTTCAGACATAGAATGATTTCTTTCTGCAGCATCTCTTAGACTATTTGTATGCCGCAGAATCTCAAATCCACCACTTTCGTACATATTATTGTAAATGTTCTCTATTGGCTTTAAATTTGAAGAATTTGAACGAGGAATTATACGTGAAGGCGTAGATCGTCGCTCATTTAAATTTTTTAATCGTTGATCACCTCCATCTTGATTATTATCATTTTCCTCTTCAGTTATCGTAGATATTTGATTGCTTGGCATATTCGATGGAGACGATTGTTTCATAGTATGGCCTCCACTTAATGGGCTTAAGTCAAGGTTATTGGGTCGTCTTATTATGCCATTTCCATTGCATTCTAGCGATGTTTTATACTGAGCGGGTTTAACACAATGCGTCGTCTGTTCGTTATCTATAAAACTTATGACTACGGGATGAATAGTTGCATTCTTATCCAGGCCTTTTAATACGGCTACTTGACGATTATCCACCAAACTTGATTTTTCATCACCTCCGTTAATTTGTCGAAATACCTGTACACCTGAGTCTTCTGATTTACGGAAAAGCCTTTTCTGTATTAAAGCTCTAACTCCATGCCAGCCCTTTAGTTTTTTGTCCGTGTTGTGTTGCTTAGGGAAACCTTGTCCCATATTTGACGTCTCTTCACGAGTTAGAGAAGGGAACTTTTTAGAGTTTCCACCTGTGATAAGTTCCTCAACAGACACGTCGTCTTCCAAGCAAGACAAACTATGCTCTTCGCCTGCCTGAGATTGGAAACTATGTTTTTTGCTACGTTGTATTAGCCGTTGAGGCGAACGCGCAGACACAGGAGCTAAATTCCTTTCCAAGCAAGGATTACGTCCCTGATAGGGTTGAAGCTGTAACTGAGTTTGTATCAGGTGGTTTTTCTCAATTATTATCGAGTTACTTGTGCTTTGATCAGTGTCCACTATTTCTATTGTGTGCGAAGGAAGAATTTTTTTGTTAGGTGGCGGATTCAATAATGTTGATGTATCTGAGCAATTAATATCAACTTGATGGGGTATCGGGTCGTTGTGATTCGGACTTTCACTGGATTCTGCGATTTCCTTGCATAAATTGTTAGCACTTAGTAGAGGAGTGGTAGCTGTTAAATGATGACTTAAACGCAATCCCATATTTTGCACCTCATGCATACGCTCTTCTGCGCACAACGAAGTTAATCGTGCCTCGGCATCGTGGTCCCAGCAATCTTCACATGTGTCTCTAACCAATTTAGCGGCTGAACCACCACCCCAACCGTTAGGGAAAAGCGGTCTAGCCTTATGACGTACGACTAATGATTGCATTTGATCAAACGACGGATGAGACCCGACTTCCAGCTCATATGGTGCTTTATATGGTGGAGTTATCTGAGCGACCGGATAGAAATCCGTGCAACGTGTGGCTACTTCCCACAACACAAGCCCCAATGCGTACACGTCCATTTGTTTCAGCGATGCCTCGCAATCTCTTAAGTTTACGGCGCCTTCAAGAAGTTCTGGAGCCATGTACCTTAATGTTCCCACTTCGTTAATACTTTTCGTTTCTGCTTCTGCAATTTCTCCTTTGTATTCATAACGAGATCCAAATACTTTGAGAGCAAAACCAAAATCCGAAATGCAACATGTTCGATCTGATTTAACCAAAATATTACGTGTATTAAGATCTCTGTGAGCTATGCATGGTTTATGATCTTCTGCACGCTTAAGCTCGGTGTGTAGATGCGATAATCCCCTCGTAATGGATTTCACCATTCCGCAGAAAGTTTCAAAATTCATTGTGTTAGCTATTAGCCAATCTTGTAGGTTGCCCAACGGAGCTAGGGATAGAACCAGCTGATATTCCATTCTGCCCTCCAGGGTTTGCCGTTCATCAAAACCTAAACGTTGTAAATGAAAATATATAAAAATATCGTGTGAGCGTCGTGTTTGGCGACAAAATTACCAAAATAAGCCAACAACGCGGGGCTTTCCATTAGAGGTAGAGAATAAATATTCCTTTCGTTAATGAAATATTGGTGATGAGCTTCGGGAAAGATTTTCACAGCAACTTCCTGATCGTGTAGCAAACCTTTCATAACTGTTCCATATTTACCACTACCTAGCATACAAATTAAATTTAAATTGTCCACGTTACGTAAATTTGAACTGTATCCAGGTCCCGACGGTGCTAGGGGTGCCTCTTCTGGCTCAGACTTTTCTCTTGCCGTTCGACAATATATAAAGAATGTAACTGTCGTTATAATCAAACAAGCTGTCATTATAGCCAACCACAAGTTTGTAGTTGACCAGTTAAGAACGTCATGTGTGCCATAATAATTTTTAGAAACCGCAAACTGAGGCTTGGAAAGCTATTAATCAAAATTTCAAACCAATATATATAAAATATATGTATTGAAAACAATTTGAGCATTAATGTACCTGCAAAGGCGAAGACTCAACTACAGCAACATTACGATTGCAAGCTTCACCGGAACAACAACAATAATATAAGGAAGTATTGCGCGAAGTCGGAGAAGAACTCACACATTCCGAGTGACTACAAGTGGCATTGCCCTCAGTACTGTCTTTCCAACATCCTTAAAAAAACAAATTTACAATTAAAAATTTAAAAAAATTTCCGCCCGAGCAGGGACTTGAACCCTGGACCCTTGGATTAAAAGTCCA